CCAATAAAAACTTCTGTCTACTGGATAACCGAACCCGTGTCTGTCGTTTTCTGACACCACCCTTTTGCAACTAGCATTTATTTAGGGCAGTGAAGGAGGAGCTTTTTTGTTTGATGTTGATTTGCTTCAGGAGAAAGACTGCAAAAGGCATCTCTTACTCTGCACTGTTTCTGGCATAGCTAGCATCAAAAGAAGGTCCTGAGTGTTCCACCCACCCGAATGTCATCGGGGTCAAGGCTGTGCTCACTCCACGCCGAGGTGATGCTGCTGTTCAAGAAGGATCCTGAACGCCTCATGTCCAATTCATCCTCATACACCTCGGCAGCAATTTCTTCCCGCAAGGGTGACCCTGCATGCAGGAACTGTGTGGAAGAACACAGAAGAGAGGATGTTGAGGAAAAGATAATGGGGAATGTTAGTTTAGATCTCTGACCTGTCCCTAATGCAGAGAAGCAATACAGTAAAGTTGAGGCCAACTTCTGCTATGGCTTTGCCATAGGTTCACACAAAATGCAAAGCCACCAAATATGGTCTACAAGCCACAATGGCTGGTTTCATAATATCAAGCTATGTCAAGAAACTCTATTATGGATTAGCATAATGTGTGAATCCTGCCTATTAGAGCCTGAAGCACCTAAGCATTGGGCTTGAACTCCCTTTGGCCATGTTGGTTGGGAATAAAAGAGTTGGAGTCTAATGTAATTTGAGGGTACCCACTTGCATTTTGTTCTGCTTCTTACCTTAAAATCTTTGGTACTCATTTTGGCTGGGAATATACAATTTATTATGCCTGTATATTGCACTTCCCATTTTAAATGGTAGCTCTGTGCTGAATGCCTCACTTAACAATAACAATAATCTGTCTCAAATTATTTCTGCCCATCCCACATGCTCTAGCAGGATGAGCATGTTCCAGGTTTCTTTCTGGAAGCAACATTATCAGATGGGACTTAGGAGGCACCTGTCCTTTAGAATGATCTCCCCTTAAATTCAGTTGGCCCGAACTCTGTTAGTCTGCAGGATGGCTTTAAAACCTTAGTTTTCTCCTAGAATGGCCAGGATGATAGATGAGATATCAGCCCTTTGAAGTAGTTCAGACAAGAAGCATTGAGCATGAATACTAACACTATTGTAAGGTTATAGTAACAGAAGCTTGCAAGTCTGAAATTAGCTCTCCCCTCCCTTACTTTTACTCTCCCCAGAACTAGGGAGGGTCCCTTTTTCTCCACCCCACCCAACCTTTGGACTCAGATTTTGTTTATTGGAACATTGCCTAGGCTGTGGCTCTTCCTTCTGTCTCCCAAGATCAATCCCATATGCCACCCATCTTCAGGAGGTGGTCTGTGCATTGAGGGATCCTGAAAGTATGCTGCTGGTATGTTGATTTTTGCTTTGTTTTTGTTGATATTAATGGGGAGGGTGGTTCACAATAGGTTGGGCAGCCAAATAAATCTAAATAAATAAATAATAGCCCCTCCCCCAATATATGCCATTCAAGTTTTGCACAGCAAATATGCCACACATTCTTAGACCTCTGGATTTATGTCCCTGAAAAGTATATTCTATAAAACAAAGGCAAAATAGAAAACTGAAAGTGAATGGTACCAAACCTGACATTATATATAAAAAAAAAATCACGAACACAATGTTATGATATCTTAAGCCTGACTACTGGTTCAATTCTGGGGGTGGAAGAGAGAGAATAGAACCTTTTTGCTTACTTTTTTGTAAAGATTCTTTCAGTTCCTACCTTTGGGATGAAAATAAGTGCAAGAGTCATTGTGGTGGTGACATGAGTATGAATGAAAAACAGTAGCAGAGTCCAGTCAGGATGCAAGGAAGGAACCATTAAAAACCTGAAGATAGAAATGGAGAAGGTAGAGTGAGGTGCATTGGAGAAAGAAGATGGTTGGAAGAATTAGTGAAACAGTAGATATATTCCTTGTCAGAGTGATGACAGACTAGATTTTTTAAAAATGGTAAAAGCATACATAATTACCACCCTTAATTTTACTGCTTGTCTTGATACGATTTAGCATTTAGTCTTTAGTTAAGCACGTCACATGCAGGACTGTTACAATCTTTACAACCTTAGCAGCTGCGTTAGGAGTGCACCCAGTCTGACAATAAGCATTTGAAAAACAGCTTCTCTATCTGTTATGTCTTCTTCAAAATCAGCTTAGCCAAGTTAAAAACTGAAGGGACTGAAAAAAGATGGGCGGAGGCGGGGGGCGGGGGGGAAGATTCATATTGTGCCTAGAGAAAATAATGTTTTACAGAAAACTTGGGCGATGGGTTGTACATAAATGGTAATTCTGAACAAGCAAAACACACTGCAATTTTGATAACATCTTTTCTGATGATTGAAGAAAGAACAGTAGATAGGAAGAGCATTTTTAAAGACTTAAAATACTTAAACATCTAGCACTCCTAAATATAACCACCTTAACATTTAATTTAGTGGCTATTTGGTGTTCTATTATTCCTTCTCAGGGTGAATGAGCCTTCCTTTCTTCTGTACATAAAATTGTTCTCATTTAGATTGTTTTCAGATATCTCTTTCCTTGCTATCAAAAGTAAAAGCATGAAGCAGGTGCTATTACTCAATCAGACCATGTTAGCAAGTTCATAAAAATCTAAACACATCTTTCAAATGATCCTTGAATGTACGTTTGGTGAATCATAAAGATTTTAATAAGGAAGTGGAACAGGAAATGGTCGCTCTTTTTTACATTTAAATTTATATTTACAGGGACTCAGTTATAGAGTGGTTTAGCACTTTGGATTCAAATGTAATATGGTGCTTTGGAGCATCTGTCTTCAGATATTTAAAGCAGCTGGATCTTTTCCTATGCAATCCCACCTGGAAACAGCTGCAAACAGATACTATAGGCACCAGTGAAGGTGTCAAAGCACCTTTTTGCAATACTATCCAAAGCATTATATAGCCCTACTCAGTTACATCACTACCTTTGGTATAATATACAGCCATAACATTTAATGCTAGTCAAATTATTATTGTTCTAGTAAGAGGGTTATTATAATTTTAACATTGCTAATCTCTTCACTATTGGCTATTAGATTTGTTTTCCCCACATTCATCCAGACTTTCAAGTATCTTTGAATGTTTTTATTAATCCCATAATAATAATAATAATAATAATAATAATAATAATAATAATAATGTTATAAATTATGAAACTGGGAAAGGCTCCTGGCCCTGGTTGTTTTCTAAATGATTGATACAAAAACATACTGGTTTTTATTAGGGCATTACCTGCTTCAAATTATTCAAAAGGGTGAGGTTTAGATTAGGGCTTTTATATAACCCTGAAAAAAGACATGGTTGCTTTAATGAGTCAGCTCATTTAAGCAGCCAGCTCCCCCTCCCAAGCCTTGTATGGAAGATGTGAAAAAGATGTGGTTGCTTTAAAGAAGTGCTATGCTCATGCTCCAGTGTGATCTGAAGTATTCCTTCCAACAATTTTTGAAGTGTGCACAGTCCTAGTTTTGATCTTTTCTTTTATTGGTGTTATATGATGAAACTTTTTCAGATGAACTTGTACTTTAGCCCATACTTTACAGCTAGTTCTTCTGATTAGTGTACATAGCAGGCTGAATTTATACAGGGTCATTGTCAGCCCCAGCCCAAGAACAAAGGTGAAACAATCCAGTTGAGTTAAGTTCCTTTATTTGTTTACACCTTATAGACAGAATCTTGCCAGACTAAATCTATATTACTGCAATTAGTGGATATACCTTGGGAGATTCTAGGGAGTGGCTATCCTGAACCTCTTATGCTCCCCACGCTCCCCCTGCGGACTGTGTTGTCTTTTGTCTACTTCCAGGTCTGCACCCCCTCCTTCTTGATAGCTTTGCTGTCTGTTGCTATCCAATACATCACCCTCCTCTTTGTAGATATATTCCATCACAGTCATCAAGATTCTTAAAATATCAGATTTTTAATTAATGTTCTTTCTCTGTGGACATGATCCTCAGGTTCTTTTTCCAGAATGTGTGTCCCCTCTGCAATTAGGATTTTTAGGGTAAGGAATCTGCACATTGAACAAACATGTGTCTACAAGGACTTTTCCCTTTTGGAAGCAGTTCATTCTAAGTTCCTGAGCTGAATCTTGGTGTTCCCCCAATGCCACTCTTCAATTGAAGGCAGATCACAGTTCAGCAGAAGCCCCATTTTGGATGAGTAAGATCCCTACTGGCTGAAATTCCCCAAGGGTTTAGCCCCACTGACACTGTAAGACATCTTTTACTCAACTTGGAAGAAAACTTTAGAGGAAAAAGGACAAATACTGGTCTATCTACAACCAACCTACATTCTCTGGGTTCTCCCAAAGCAAAAAATGTAGCCCAATAGCAAAAAATGGATATCAGTTTATAGACAAAGAATGCTAAGAGACCCCTTGCATTGAGAAGGGGAATCTAAGTAAATCTTTTGTCCCAGCTAAATATAATCTTGCTACTGCAAAATATTATAGAACCTTTACCTTACCACATTTTAACATGCTGCCTAGAAGGAAGATGCCAATGTACAGGGATATCTCCAGGTGAGGTCAAAAAAGTCAATATGGCAGTTGCAACTGCATGATCAAAAACCCCTTCCTTTTTTACATGCCAGCTTATTCACTTTATAGAGAGACTTTGTCCCTGTCATCTGGGAGCAGTTGGCCATGTGGGGCACGTGCTGCTCTACTGCTGATTATATGACAACATTTGTCAACTGAATTTAACACTGAGTAAGTTCCTTGGCAGACAAGACAAATTCTACTTTTCATTTCTTCTTGCAAGCCATTAAAAGACGTTGCTTTTAACATTGCCAAATTCTGTTTCAGAGCTTGTATCATTAGGACAGAGATAGTAAAAGTAGACAATTATTTTCAGTCTAACTAGAAACAGTGTAATTTGGCAACGTTATCTAAATTAGTTTACAATATATAGTATATAAAGTGTGTGTGTGTGTGTGTATGTGTATACATGCACATAGTTTATTTTATAGTTTATTTTATAATTATGTTTTTTACATCTTTGCAAAAATAGTTTAATAATTCAGTAGTTTAACCTTAAATATTTCTACCACTCTAAGTGGTTGTATTTTATTGCTCCATTTTATTTTTTCTTTATGCATTTCCATGTGAGTTCTATAACAGTATACTATTCTGGTGAGTGCTCAGATAAAGAAGTTCTGTTCTTATCCAAATAGACAGAATCCAGCAGTTTTTACTGTTGCTTTTTTTGAACATTAAGGAGGTTTTTCATGTGGTTTTCCACAACAATTTCTGTTTTGTTTATGATATAATTTTCAAACTGTTTTCTGTGTTCTTCCTATTTGTATTAAAACTGATGTTTTATTACATTGTTAAAAGTGCTATATACATTCTTTTTTCTGTTCTTTCATTTGCTATAATAAAAATGCAACCCCCTACAAGGTAAACAGATATTTTTATCACTCTGGTTACAGATGGAGCTTGCTTAGTTCTTGGCTAAGGATATCTAATTATCTTTTGGTAGAGACAACTTCAGTATCAAGGACTTTTATGGTCACAGTTCATCCACATAGCTCCTAGGAATCAAATAATGCCAGATTCTCAAAACATAAATGCCATGAATCTGCCCTTCGAAAAAGGCACTTTTCTCTTACCTAATGACATGAAAAGCAGTAGAGGTTATCAGCTCATTGTGGAGAGCAATGCACATGTAGCGAGGCTCATGGTAAGCAGAAGGGACTGTTCGGGTAGCATAGCAGAGAAAACTTCCCCAAAACAAGAATAGCATCTCAGCTAGACAAGACATACAAAGATAAGCAGAGATGTGGTAATATTCTTGCCACACTTTTCTGTATTCTTATCCCACCCCTCTAGATGGCTTATTAAATAAGAAA